GATCTTCAGGTAAAGCAAACTTGTTCCTAAACACTGTTGCTTTCTAGGCAGACAGTATTTAGCAGTGTAAGAGCAACAGGAATGAGAGCATAAGGCACACTGCTCAGGTACAAGATCTGGACAATCAGGGTGTTACAGGTCTGAGATGTCTCATGGTATATATCTGCCAAGCATTCCAGACACAGATTAAGCATGTAAAAAACCATAATGTATTTTGTCTACTACAGCTGAATGCCTTTCTGCCCATATGTATAAGTACACAAGCCCTTTCCAATGTGCCTGAGGAAGTATTTCGTATCAAAGTTACATAGGTAATTTTGCCCTGTAGCAGTGTTTCCATTATATTCAATTAGACATACATTATATTCAATTAGACATATTGTACAACGTCCATTTTTATTAGGAGAAATCGTGAGCAGCAGTAGCTAACTTATTTTATTGTTATGATAAAAATATTTGTATCTCTATCTTATTCCCGTCTTGTCTAAACCAAACATTCCAAACCTACTTAAGCCTTTTTATGCTTCTACTATTCCTAGCCATCACTGTCAGATTACTTTGTAACTGTTTACATGATTTTCAGTATTCTTCAGTTTGCATTATGTGAATCAACATTTTCACACAGGAAAAGAAAAAAAAAAAAATCACATTAACAGCAAACAAAGAAAAAGATTATTCCTTCCATAAGGGCTGGTAGTAACAAGACTAAAAAGTCGTATTTGCAAAAGTTGAGTCACAACGCTTTCCCAATTCTTCCTGATGTTAATAAGTTGCATGTGTTTGCCCAAAGCACTGCTGTTTTTCAGAAAAATCCAGACTCATTGAAACCAGCTAGTTCAAAACATGAAAGCAAGTTTGATTCTTGTGTTGTGGTCCCGACCTCCCAAAGTCACCCAAACTAAAAACATGAAAGTTTGCCAGAGTTCACATTTTTTTCATTTGTATATGGTCAGTCAGTAGTACACAGTAAATTATGCTTCTGCTTGTTCTCATAAAATAAGCCTTTTATCTTTGAACTATGCCAGATGCAGCTGTAAACACACAGAAGATAAATCATTAACTAGAAAATACAGTATATTTTTCCTGAAGTTTTAGACACAGCTTTCAGGAACATTCATAAATGTTTTATGTTTTAAAATTTTAGTACCTATGTCTCATCAAAATATTATTAACGTAACAGTAATCAAAGATTGGGAAATGTGAGTATTTGTCTCAAAAACTTTCCTCTCTCTGCCTGTGGGCTTGTGTGTCAGTGTTTTTTTTTTGTTTTTTGTTTTTGTTTTTTTGGTTTTTTTTTTAAATTAAATTGCTCACAGATTTCTTCCTCCATCCAGCCCAACTTGGCAAGGAGATGAAAAAACTCAATATTGGTATTAAATAGCTAGTGAAGGGCAAAGCCAAAAGTCAACAAGCTTATCTATGTCTGAAGCAAAAGCAGACTGGAATCACAACACGAATAGGACAAGCATAGTTAACAGAATCAGCTGAGTCATCACCAATGGAAAAATTGGGCAATTAAGGACTTCAGCCTTTCAGAACACAAATGCAAGATTTAACTTTATTTAAACACTGTACTTAGAGCTTGCTGTGTGCTTCTATTCATTATTTTCTGACCTTTTTTTTACCGTATCATATATGAGCCAAATACATTTCATCAACTCATGTCAAATATTAGTTAAATACTGATTCTGTTTGCACTCCAGCTTCAAGAGATTCAGTATTGCTACCTGTAAAATTACACCTTCCTTAAGTGTTTCAGCAGCAATCTTCCATTTGGCCAAGAAACCAGGGAGTCAAACTGTTGCTTCACAAACAAGAATGCTCAGATAACAGATAGCTGTAATTGCCGACACCCCAGCAGTTACCATGCATTGCATATTACCTGGGGTTCCAGATAAGGCAGCTTGAGCTCCCATTAAAGTCAAAAGGCCACCGTCTTTCAGATGTTTTGTGGCTAGATGACTGGAGATAATCGATGTCCAAACGCTCTGCTTCCACATCAGATCACAGTTTTTGTATAAAGCTGATTAAGAAGAGAATTAGTGACATCACCTAAAAGGTAGAAGACTTCTAACCTCGATTTCCTTGCTGTCACACAGAGTGCAACAGCACTATGCAACAAGATTACAGAAACATGCTTTCTACCATTTTCTACTTCCACATTAGTTAAAATATCAATTGATGTACTTCGTATTTCCTTGCAGTTTGGGGTCTGAGCCCCAGCTCTAGAGCATACATTCTAAGAAATTATCTGCCTTCGCACTACCAGAAATAAAAAAAATAAACACAAGATAGTTCCATTAGTTCTCCATTAATGGTTCAAAGATTTCCAAGTTCCTGAAAACCCTGTAGGGTTTGCTTCAATCTATGTCAAGGATCTCAAAACCCTCACATTAGCCTCATCTCACCTTGTAGTGGCATGATCTGTCTCTTTTCTTAACTTCCTCACTGGCTGCAAGAGAGCTACGCTTTATTAGTATGCAGATAGAAGACTCCAAGAGATAAAGGAGTTGAACAAAAAAATATTTCTTATCACCAGATCACTTCATAAACCAAGACACAATCTGTCTGTCTGACAGCAGTAGGCTGGTACGGAATATCCAAGATGTATGCATCTGTGCGTGCATTCCAGTGCCCCTACAGACTGGAGTGCAATCGCTGGCGCGGCAGCCTAAAGGGGCACGTACACCCATAGCTTCAAATGAAAGCAAGATCTGAACTCTCATAATTGTTTTTTGTCATCAATATCTGCACGGGAAAAGAATAGAAAAATGGTCACTAGCCACGTCAAAGATTTAGTGTTCAGAAAGAATCACTTCCCTAACACCATATGGAATAAGCGTAAATAACAGGGACCAGGCTGACCACCTATCCCAAGATAACCTGCCACCCTACCAATAATGTTACTGTAAATTATGGTTATGATAAATTATTTAAAATACAGTGCACGCTAATAACAATCGAATGTAATGCAACTGTGGTATGTGTGTCTTTCCATATTGTCTCTCTTTAAAAAGAAATCTTTGCCTGTAACATCCGAACTGGAAGTGGGGAAGAAAAGGACACATTTTTACCAGATTTACTCCAGACAGAAAACCTATTTTTTTTCTTGTATCTCTACACTAGTGAATAAAGCATAAAATTTCATTCCCAATATTACATGTTTAAAAGCTTTTTTTTAAATGGAAGGTTTTTTTCTGTAGCATCATCTCAGGTCATTAGACAGCTCCTTCCAATACTGTATTGCACAGTAATAACTCAGAGAGCTGCAGGAGGCAATGGAGGTTTTACACAAAGCAATGAATCAGGAAACAACATTGATATTTCTACCCAGACACTGTCTTATATAATTTGCCTGACACAAGTAATGGCGGCAGTAGTTCATGGATAATAATGCTGAACTCCTTCATAAAGTGCATCAAGGTTTTTCTGATGAAAATGGGTGCATCAAAAAGTATTACTGAGAATACTAAACTCAAATTTAACAGACAGTAAAAACTCAGAGAAATTGTTACTGAGCTATTTTGTACTTTTATGCTCAGGTCCTCTTCTGGACTCAGAAAGAAAGATGATCTCAAATGTCATTACCATGATTTTTAAGGATTCCTCTCAGATTTCATTCATGTGTTCACTAGCATGCTGGTACCAAAGGCTTACATTTAGCTTTGGCGCTGCCTCCAGCCCATCCTCCTGCTACACACAAGATGGCATCCACCTTTTCTTCACCAAGAAGTTTTCCAATCGCTGTTGTCACCTTCAATACACAGAACAAAAACATACTGAAAATATTAGACTGATGAGGTAAAAGAATAAATATCAAGACTGCCTTAAAGTTACTTTTTTCCAGTTATGTAGCTGAGCAACACAACACACAGCAATCTAAGAAGGTGCAGAAAATTAACATTTATGATCTATGAACTTAACCCAAAAATAAGTCATGTTGAAAGATAACTAGAGATAAAATTCAGACTGTACAGTGCATGATGTCACTGGAAACAACTGATTTGAGCAGGACAGAAAGATCTGACCCTTACCTACATCATTAATAAAAATTTGTATTTGACTTACTTTTTGACAGGTTCTTCTTTGGGTATGGTGCTGTTTGATATGGGAAATGAAACTCCAGGTCTGACCAGGACTACTGATGTCACTTTTGATGACGGTGCAAGAAATGAACAACTAAAGATTAGCCTTCTTTTATTGCTTCAATCTAGACATTCTAGACCACAACCATCAATTTAAGCCTGGCCTCTAAATTTGAGTGTGTATACTTTTAGATATCTGGTATCTTTCTCTCTTTCAAATATAAGACTTCACAGTTGGCAATGAATTTGTTGGCTATGAATTTTCTCTGCCAAAGTGAAAAGCAAGCAATCCATTTCTTAACAAAAGAAAAAATCCACTGGTTTTCACAAAGGTTCATCATTGAAAAATATGTTGCAAACATTCTATACTACTCTTTAAAAGCCTTACGAGTTGTGTAGATATAAAGGAAACACACTGGCTAGTGATTCAGTTTATCAGTAAGAGAAATAGGTTCAAAAGTTAAAATAATAAAAAAAAAAAAAGCTACCACTTGAGAATAAAGCAGAGTTTTTAGGCTAGCTTGGCTTCTCCCGTATTTACCTCTAGTAACTAGTGCATTCTCTAGGGATGCCATCGGGGCTTAGGGTCTGCACGCTTTGCATGTACCATCTACCTACGTACAACGCATTTTAGAGTTCGGACATCAGAAGGAAGTGATGCATTTTAAGATGTCCTCATTCATCTTCGTTATACCCATCTGAATCGGTCCGTGACTTCTCAGGTCACCGGCCGGGCTCCTTCGCCCCACAGCGGCGGCTTCTTGCCCGAGAGCGGGCCGAAGCGCCCCCAGCCGCCAGCGAAGGGAGGGCGGCGGGCAGGGAG